ATATGATTTGTGTTTATAAAGAAAATTATGGTAATTAGAAACTTTTTAAAAAACTATAAATAATATAGTCAAGAAGGCTAATGGCTCAATATTTTTTATTATGAGAAACTATTGACTATATAGTGAAGGATGGATTTATATGTTTGTTGATGAGACCTTTATCTATTACATGAAGTAACTAGCTAACAGCTACATTTATTCCATATAACTCCAATTTATTGAGAGGAAATATGGCTTTGCAATAGATTCATATTTGGCATATGAGGTATAAGAGCTTATGTAATGTCGCCACTTACCTAACTAAAACTAATCATGATAGAAAGTAATAAAACCAATAAACACACCCTATCATGGTTATTTAGAAGCAATCACATCTTTAAAGGGCTAACCATGATAGAAAGGCATTAAACCTCAATTAAGGCTATCATGGTTAGAAAAAGAAATATCTTATCATCTATAATCAACATATACTATCATATAGCACATTCACATGCAACCCATGTTATGAAAGATTAGTCATAGCTAACCTAGTTATAAGACAACATGCCCCTGATTGATAAATTATAACAACAACTCGTATTTGACTATCTAAATTGACATTAAAAAGAATTAAACTTGCAGAAATTTCCATTATCGTATCATAGATCTACAAATAATCTAATCACATGCAACCTAAGGGCCTTATACCCACTACTCGTACTCCAAGCTGGTGTCCAGACAAAATAAACCAAAGATAAAAGATGCAATATGTTCTATGTGAAAGTAAAATAAGTTCCAACTGAATACAGTCCTAATACGTGGCAATATACAAAAAGATTGCATAAAGTAAGGTCCATAAGATCTACACTGTCAGCTGCAGCTATTGAGTTTTAAGAATCTTCACTAAAGGTCTTGCTAACGTATTGTTTCTTAAAAATAGTAAAACAATGGGAGTGACACAACATCTTAGTAGCTAAATCCCTACCTATCACACACACTAGCATGAGCTAGCATGGTGTTAGATAGGATATGCAGAGTTGATAACAATCAATAGACATTTATTTAACATTTAAACTCACAACAACCATATAAGTCAAATATTTCCGCTAATCTCATGCAGCTGATAATTTCAAAAGAGATAACATAGTTTTTATTTACTTAAAAGATATAAATATCAATAAAGATCCCATGTCATATGCAATCTGTAAACCCAAATCCATCCTTATATCCTTCTTATTTCTGCCAACTAGATCTATGGGCTAAGTTCTTTCTATTTGACTGGCTACTTTGACAAGCTCACCATATGAGTGATATGGACTGGCCAAAGACTACAGAGCACTCAAAGGACCATGGGTGCCCCCTTGAAGAACTAGTGGGGCGTCGTAGTTCCTCGAAGAACTAGTAGAATAATAATAGTGGCTAGCCATAAAGCTCTATATGGAGGCCAATACCATGTGGCAAGTATATATATCTCAGTAACTCTAATCATCACCTTCCCCTACCCAAACTAGAGGCACAAGATTCATAATAACACATTTATATACAAAACCAACCAAATTCCAAAATAATACCTTATAGTCATAATTATTAATTTCTAACAATACAAATAATTTCAGTCCTTTTCAAAATAGCATCCCACAAGACAATTCATACAAAACATAATATACATATAAAAATTGGACATAAAACCACTCACCAATTTCATATCAGAGCACGTAATAGATAGAAATTTAGTTACATGGTCTCTTAGCTGACAGTCAAATACAATCAAAGTCCAACCTCAAAAACACCACAATAGGGTTTATATCTACAAATAAAATTAAAATATTATCACTACAGTATTAGAGTATGCTACTCACAAAATCCTAGCCTCTAACTCCTCCTTTAAAAACTTCAACTTTACTCAGAATTCTAGCTCAAAAGGCCTTTTTTGAAGGTTTGGAGTAGGAACATATATGTATGATTTGGACTCAATTCCAAAATTTTTCTTAACTTAAATATCCTTTAATTATTAGAATCATCAAATTCATAACGTAGATAGAAAAACCCTAATTTATATCTTGTGTTCTATCTTCAAAGGACTTAGATAAATATATTTAATATGAACTAGGTCATTCTCAGTACTGAAGTTAAACCATTGATCTAACAGTTGAATTTAGTTTCCTATCTATCGTGATTCTATTTTCCAAATTATGGCTAAACCTAACGGTGAACGAACTTAAAAACACTAATTTACTATTCTAGACTCTATCTACTAAATCTAAAAAAAATAACTTGAAAACATACCTAATAATTTGTAACTTTGAGATCGAACTGATGATCCAAGTATTGAAATTGATGATTTGGATGCCCCAAATAGGCTAACCAAATTTTAGTCTAATCCACCGATTAAGAAACTCAAAATAGCACTTTTGAGACTGCCTCAAATATGTGCAAAAATTATTTACTTACTCTCAATTCTACCCACCACCTCCTATATATATAGGCTTCTCAAGTTCCTTTATTTTAGTAATTAGTTAATGTGGGACTTTTATACCATACTATAGTTATATATTTTTATAATATCACACACATATTCACACACACAAAATAATGATTAATGCAAAAAATAATTTACCTATATTTAAATTTCCATTAGCTTAATACTCAAAGATATTTATTTATAAATTTAATTAAATTCTAGGCATAAAAGAATAAGGATATTATATTTCTTCCCACCTAAAGGAATTTTATCTTCAAAATTCAATAAAGGATAATGTATTCATACCTTTATCGAATAGGTGAGGATAGTCACGACGCATTCTCTCCTCAGTTTCATAAGTAACATCACCATGTGACATGCGCTTCTAAAAGACTTTAAGAAGTCTAATAGTCTTATTCTGCAATTTCTTATCCTTGATATCTAGGATTCTCTCGAGTTCTACCTTATAAGTCAAGTCTTCTCGTAGTTCCAACTCTTCTAGCTCTATAATATGCGGTGGCTCCGGTTAATATTTCTTCAATTGGGAGATATGAAATACATCATGCACCTTTGACAAGCACGGACGTAGTGCAATATGATAGGCTACTGGCCCAATTCTTTCTAGGATTTTGAATGGTTTGATGTATCTGGGTGTCAACTTTTTATCTTTAATGGATCTACCAATACCAATAGTAGGAGATACCTCTAGGAACACATGATCCCTCACTTCAAACTCTAATGGTCTTCGTCTTTGATTAGTGTAGCTTTTTTGTCTACCTTGTGCAGTTAGCAACTTTTGTTTGATTACTTTAATTTTTTTTATGGTCTCAACCACATAATTGGGGCCAATAATAGTCCTTTCACTCAACTCTATCTAACATAATGATGATCTACACTTTCTATCACATAATGCCTCAAATGGTGCCATTTGTATACTAGAATGGTAATTATTGTTATAAGCAAATTCTGCTAATGATAAGTAGCTATCCCAACTCCCTTTAAATTCAATAACATATACTCAAAGCATATCTTCTAATGTTTGCATGGTTCTTTTCGTTTGTCTATCAGTTTACGGGTGGTATGCAATACTAAAACACAATTTGAATCCTGTTGCCTCTTGTAACGATTTCCAAAATCTTGATGTGAACTTGGGATCGCGATCTGAGAGTATACTTGTTAGGGTCCCATGAAGTCTAATTATTCCTGAGACATATATTTATGCTAACTTTCCATCAAGTAGTTTATCTCAATGGGTAAAAAGTGGGGAGACTTTGTTAATCGATCCACATTAACCCATATGACATCAAAACATGCCAATGTCCTTGGTAATCTTGTAGTGAAGTCTATAGAGATACTCTCCCATTTCCACTTAGGTATCTCTAGATCCATAACAAGCCTGGGGGTTTTAAATGTTCGATATTTACTCTCTGACAAGTGAGACACCTCTATATATACTCTGTCACATCCTGCTTCATCCTTGGCCACTAATATTGTTGCCTCAATTCATGATATATCTTAGTGGCTCCTAGATGCATGATATTGCTAAATATTTGCCATATGCAATTACTGACCTAAATGATAATTATTAATTCTCATATTCTAGATAAAAAGGCTTCTATCATTATAAATGAAAATAATGTATGTTTGAAACCTGAGAGAATGATTGGTTCCAAAAAAAAAAAAAAGAAACAGAGCGAATAATCAAAATGATCATACTTAGGAGGCAAGAACCACAAAAGAGGCAAAGACATAAGTGTTTAAGAGCAAATAATCAAGATGATCGTACTTATTAATTCTCATAATTATTTATGGTTTTGTCCCATTTAGTTTTCCTAGCAAAGTTTTTAATGAAACAGCAACGTGTATGTATTAATAAATGCTGTACTTCTTTTCTTTTACTAGGTTTTTGTCCCACAAGGTTTTTTTCTAATTAAAGTTTTTTTAATGAGACACATTAATATAATGGACATCTAAGGAAAAATGTTATGAATATAATAATATATCTTTGTGATGTCTGTATCTCTCCTATTATCTCCAATGTCATATCTTCATGATCTCATAATTATCTCTTATTATGATGTAATCTATAGATTTTGTTGAAACTGTAAAGTTATGCCTGTATATATATGACATATATAATGTATTCAGGATCTTAAATAGAATGAAAAATACTCTTATTTTTTTTCCTCTCTAATTCTCTATTTTTCTTCTTTACTATTTCTTTAGCTTTATAACATTAGTCATTTAGATATTTATTTTTTTCATGGCTTTCTCTCATTTATTTAAATAAGAGGGGTGATAAAATTTTATTTTCTTTCTGATCATTCTCATTTCCTTTTCTTTCGACTTTTCTTCTTTCTAAACCGAGCGTTAGTCACTGAAATTTTCCCTTCGCCCTCTGAACCTCCACTCCGTTCCAATATGCCGTGTAAAATTTAATTCTCAGTCTATAAAATTCCGTCATTAGCCTTCCTTCCCTTGAATTCCACCAATCATTAATTTGTGGACAAAATTCACGCCGGCAGCAACAATGAAACCAAGTCCACAAGCACAATTGTAGGAGGAATGTGGCGCTAACCCCACGACACTATGGCCACTCCCCAACTCCGCCACCATCTTTCTCGCTCTGTTCCCGTTGTTTGCGCCGGCTTCCGGTCACCGAACCCCATCTCGAGCCTTCGGCCACAACCTCTCAAAACTTCGAAATGCATAAACTTGGCCGTCGAGGCTAACAAACCCCGCAAATGGGCCATTCAACTGAGTTTAGTTGAACATAGCCCCTTCAAATCAGCAGTTGATATTGAGCAACTCGTGGGGTTTCTGTATGATGATCTTCCTCATCTCTTCGATGATCAAGGCATCGATAAGACGGCTTACGACGAACGCGTCATCTTCCGCGACCCCATTACCAAGCACGATAGTTTGAGTGGATACCTGTTTAACATAGCCCTCTTGAAGACACTATTTAAACCTCAGTTTCAGTTGCATTGGGTTAGACAGGTCTGCTTCCCTATCTTCATTTCTAATGTATTGGATTATAGTTTACCCCCTTGTGTTTTAACTTAAGAAGCACCGGGTACGAATTTCGGACATACCATGTTATGCAAGATATGAGTACGTTATATTTATGTAGTTTACGTTATCCCCAAAATTTTTAAAAATATATTATCCAGTTTACTTGTATACAGGCCCGCTTCAATATCCTTCCGATAGTGTAAATTATAGTCTACACCCTTTTGTTTTACCTTATTTCAGTTCGGCATGTGGCTCAATAGTCTGTAATTCAAAGCTCCTGTTGTTCATTTCCATTCTGCTATGTGAAAATGATGAACAGTTCAGTAAATTTCTGTATCACTTATACGCTTTCACTTCGATATTTTCATAGTAACACAACTTCCAAGAAGAAAGATTTAAATGGGCAATTTTCACTTCCGAATATTAGTTCATACTAGTAACGATGAAAGTATTTAAGGTAAAAGAAATGTGTGTACACTCACACACATATTAAGAAATGGAGTTATTCCTTATTTTAACCTTTTCCAAAGTGCTAAATTTTCCTCCCCTTTTAAGTTTCACTGTGCTTTAACTTTAATTATTCATGTGTATTTTAATAACGCTTCTGTATAATTTTGAATTGATTGGATTTCTATAGACAGGCCCATACGAGATAACCACAAGATGGACTATGGTTATGACATTCATGCTTCTTCCATGGAAACCAGAATTGGTGTTTACCGGCACGTCTGTAATGGGAATCAACCCAGAGACTGGCAAGTTCTGTAGCCATGTGGTAGGTTTCAAGAAGTAACGAAATTAGTGGTTGGATTTTGAATATATTTGCCAGTTGGTTTTAGAAACTAATTTTTGTTTTCAATTTTCAAGGACTTTTGGGATTCAATAGAGAATAATGATTATTTTTCTTTAGAAGGTTTATGGGATGTATTCAAGCAGGTATCTTCTATGTCACTCTGTTATATAACTTGTATACTCATATTCTCATAAAATCGTATTAAAATTTGTTGTAACTATTTAATTTCTTTGTGCTGCAGTTGCGGATCTACAGGACGCCAGACTTGGAATCACCCAAATATCAAATATTCAAAAGGACAGCAAATTATGAGGTCTATTTAACTTTTAATGAATTTAATTATTTATTCTCTTAGACTATTCATTCTCTGTTGTTTATTCATCTGCATCTGTCTAGTAGTATGCTAAGTCCTTAATAATATCTCATTGAACATGTTTACTTTTATGCGCTAGAAAATCAGATGCTTCTGTCATACCCACTTTGCAACCCCGAACTACACTACATATCATTCTACAAAATCTTAAATCTTTAGATTCACCAGTCATAGCTGAACAATTGAAGCCGAGTAAGCATAAAAGTTGAGATAAATTTTTTTTCATAATTGTTCCATGCTTAAAATACATTTGTTGTTTGTTTTCTATTTTGTAACAGGTTAGACACTATGCCCCATTCATAGTAGTAGAAACAAATGGAGACAAGCTATCAGGGTCTACCGGCTTCAATACTGTTGCTGGGTTAGTTTGGACATTTCAAGTGCAACTGCCTAGTTGTTCTTATAAAATGAATTTCAAGCGTTGATCAATCTATGTATTTCAGATATATATTTGGAAAAAATTCAACAGAAGAGAAGATACCTATGACTACTCCAGTCTTCACTCAAGCCATGGATGCTGAATTATCCAAAGTCTCAATCCAAATTGTTCTTCCCTTGGATAAAGAAATAACCAGGTATTTACCCTGTGATCTGATGAACCTTAAAAACTGATTCCAGAGTTGTATATAACTATATCTTATAGAAGAGAAAAAGTGAGGCTTTCTGTGAAAAACTGTAGTTTTTTTTTTTTAATAATTAAATTATAGTTGCAGTTTGAAAACTGGAACTTGACATTCATCTTTGACCAGTTTACCAAATCCCAATGAAGAAGTGATCAATTTGAGAAAAGTCGAAGGAGGCATAGCAGCTGTAATAAAGTTTAGTGGAAAACCTACAGCAGAGATTGTTTGTGAAAAGGAAAACCTACTTCGCTCTAATATCATTAGAGATGGTCTTAAACCTAGGATGGGTTGTTTGCTAGCACGCTACAATGATCCGGGTCGAACACCTAGCTACATAATGGTATGCTATGAAGTCTTTTTAAGTATGTTACTGGCTGTTTAACTGCTATTTGAATTCTATTTTGGTATTTTCTCTACATTTTAACTAATTATAGCTACATTCACAGCCTCAACAATCATCTGTGTGCTGAATCCTGGAATTGGGAGCATATAGATTGAGCTTAGGGTAACAGAAGAAAAATATCATGTTGCTTTTTGTCTATGCGGTATAATATAATCAACTGGAAATTACCTTATGGCTGTAATGTTGCACTTAGTTCCCCTAGTTTTGCCGTTAAAAAGAGATGGAGAGAAAAGTTTGGGTTGTACATGAATAAATGAAATGAGCTCCATATACTCCTACTTTTGAATATCACTCTATCTCCTACGCTATCACAACATGACTGCAGAGGATCCAAGTTTGATAATAATTCATTTTGTCTATTAAAACTGGTTGTGTTGCGTCCTTCCCGCCAATCCAAGACCTAGTTTGATATCACAGTAAGACGTCTTCTGTAAACGTGCAAATCATCCTGGGCTTGGAAGTCCTTTATGCCTTGACGCTTTCGCCAAATTCTTTTAACATGTCAATGTATTACTGTTATTGGTTTAGTTTCTTATCATATGATAATTGGTATTTCATTTCTGGTATTTGTCATATAAGTACTGACAATATCTTCATTTATTGTGGTTTATGTCGTGGAAGAGGAACGAAGTGCTTATATGGCTAGAGGAATTCTCACTGGATTAGCATTGTTGCAGTAATCACAGGTCATTCTTGACCATCATTTGCCCTGTAAATTCTCCCTACATATTGCCATTTTATATATATATGTTTGATTGAGCTTACGAAGGGGTGCTTTGGGAGCAAAGAGCAATAGGGAAGGGAGGTGGGACCCACATTCCTCTTAGGCTACCTTCCCCCCCCCCCGCCCCGACAATTATCCAGAATTGGAAAGGTTTGTGGGAAAGCCCAAAAGGAAAAAGAGAACATTAATGTGCATAAATTGAATGGAAGAGATATTTATGTTCCATTAATTGCTGTTCAAGCTGTAAAATAAGAGTTGATCTTTATTGTAACCACTTGGACCTTTTCCCCCTATTTGTTTCGCCATGATGTGCATTTGCTGCTCCAAGTAATCATGCGTCTCTTTCGATTTCCAGGCATTGCCCACTTGGGATACTGATTGCTACTGATTGCAACATTTCTAGCGACCCATAAGCGTAATGGTCACTATTAGTTCCTTTACTTCAATAAGAAGGCCTCATTTGTTATGTAAATTGGGATGGAATTGGCTAACCCGCACCCCCCCCCCCAAAAAAAAGAATGAAATGTAAAGTAATTTGTTAGATGAGAAATTTATATTTCTAAATAAATAATAATAAGTTAAAAGGCATTTTTACTTTTCAACTATTGGCTTAGGAGCATCTGATTGCTCAAAATTGATTGCTACTAACGATGGAGGCTAGTGGATCCCAATTAAGGGTGGTTGATTGAGTAAATAACTCTTTAAATCATAAAGTGAAGGGAATTGAAAGACGACGCGCAGCGGAAAACAACACAAAATTTTAAAACTTTCAATCCCTTGTCCGGATCTACCGATCGCGTTTAAGTCAGGTAGTAAGAAGTATTACCTTCGGTGTTCGGTTTCTGAGTGGCTTGGTGATTCCGCCGTTCAGAATGCCTCTGCTCGCCTCCTTTATCGTTCGAAGTCGACAACTCCGGTCGGCTTCCTCTACCGGTATCCACACGAGTAGCCCTCAACCTCGAACGACGTGCTAGCATTTATGTCCATCTAGGGTTTTCAGAGAATCCATCCACTCTTATCTCTCTTAGGCTGTCTCTTATCTGTTGGTGCTTTCACTCTCACTCTTCAAACCCTAGCTCTCTAATATCGAATATATAGGATGCTATAGGTATTATGAGTGATATTTTAATTTCGAAATTAATCCCAAATTAATTCCGAAATTAATACAATATCAAATATTGCATAATTAGATAAGAGAATAATTAAATAAATACGGTTTATATTAAATCCGTCTCACAGATTTAATTCACCTATTTATCTAATTCAAAAATAAAGATATGACGGAATTAATTTACATAGATCTAATTTATCCTTATAAATTAAATCTAACAATTAATATCTCTTATATTTATATATAATATATATATGAATATATATATATATATACACGTCCACCCTATTTATTCATTGAATCTAGACATATCCTAGATTCAATGAATCTGGACATCATAACTCGTGTTGGGCTATTTTGTGTGCGACCCTGTAGGCCCATATGAAGTTGGCAGTGGGCCATTAACTATAATGACTCACAAGCCGTAAGCGGTCTCTAGCAAGACATCACGACTACCCAAAACATATGAGGATCATTGAACGATGCAACCTTTTATACAACCATATCGCGTCCCTTTTGTCACACGACATTTTGGTCATGGACGAGGCATGGAGAACGTCATCCTCCTATTCATGACCGTTACTTTCTCGATCCCTGAGTAGTCTGAGTATAGAAATGGAACTACCTTTCCATTATAGTATGGCCATACATTTCTCAGACTCACTCATCGAGGGGCCCAGTAATGTCTCTCTACGAATGTGAGGGACAAATTCCATTTTGACCATTCACATTCCTCCGCATGAAAAACCATTAAGCCTGAACATAGTCTTTATGATCACTCGGTCAAAAGTGACTTTTGACTAGGTCAAAGCTAAGCATCTCTCATGTAGGAATCCATGATGATCTCAGGTCAAAGGGTACAGTGACATGGTTTGTATATGAGAGAAGCTTATGACTTAACTCATGCAGCTCTCTCATAGCGGGTCGGTCCAACACCTTGTACTCTTACATGTGCCTATGACTTTAATTTATATCTCTATATATCTTTAAAGTCATACTGGTCTTATTTCATCTTTGCTCCCACATAGATGACCGACCAGGGACATTTAGGATAAACCATGAGTTATCCAAGGATAGTCATCACAGTAAACATGCAAATAATATGATAACGTAATTAATAAATTCATAAATGAACAATGTTCAAAACATAATGATTGGCCCCTAGGGCACAATTTCCAACATAAAGATCCCTGGAGGCTTTGTTCATTGATGTTCATGCACTAAATTAAACTTAGCTAACTACAGAATAGGAGCTAACCGATGTGATGTGATATTTGTTAGAATTTAAAGCTAAAACTTAGATTAACTAACTAAAGCAGATGAATTAATGAAAGGTTTGCTCTTGTGAATACCTTGGGTTGAGGTTTTGACTGGGTTATTGCTTAGGGCAACTTTCTGAGCAGAAGTAAGCCTAATTAATCAACTATGCTAGGTCACTAAACTTCCTAGACAACATTAGAATCCTAACAATTGCCTGTCCCGTAAATTAACCTTAAAAGTGCCTTTAATGTGTGGTTAATCAATTTGTTTGGATATCACCTTGTCTCTATGGGGAGTTTTGTTAAAATTTTAAAAACATTGTTAATTAAGAAAAACGGGATGTAGATAAGGAGAGTGTAGGAAAGAAAGCTAATTGAATTTTTAAGAAAATAAATTGAGAAAAATGAAAGGGTAAATAATAAAAAATAAAAGAAAAAGTTGAAGGGAAAATCGTACTAGAATGATGCACTTTTCAAGGACGTTGATGTACAGCTATTACAGTTCAAAAGGATGAGGAGTTTGCATAAAATAATTTACTAAATCAAAAGAAATACCTAGATGACATCTAAGTCATGATTAATTAATTAATTATTACACCTATAAAGCTAGCATATAATTATCTTTTGACTGATTATTTAAAAACCATTTAGCTTGTTAATTCAATTAAATAATTATATCTTATTTTTTGAAAAGAGTTATCTGCTGAAAACCCTAGAACATAGACTACCTATATGTGCAACTCAATAGAAAAATATAAAGATTAACATGTATAGAACATGAGGAAACTTAAAGTATATTCATTAAAAGCTTTAAAACATAATTGTTGAATTAAAATGCAAATTAAATAATAGCGCATAAAAAGAAAATAAAAACCATAGCCTAGGAACCCATAAAAATTAATAGATTGAAATATTAAAACTAACAAACTTCCTAAATCATACAGGAATTCAAGCCATGTCATGTTGTCCTTAGGAACAAATAGAACTAGCAACATATATGGCTAAATGACAACATAATGATAAAAGAAAATAAGAAAAAATAGTGGAACAACTAGACACAAAGAAGAAGCCAATTGTATGCTTGTGATTGTTAAGTGTAGACAGCTTCGTTCTTCTCCAAGGTTCCTCTAGGCTCTCCTTATATAGCACTTGAGTTCATCCTAGTTGAATAAGGAAATCCTTGAGACTTGTGTATCCTTTTACCTTGATATTTTATCTTCTTTCATCTTGTAATCTTGCTTGATCTCTTGCCTTTGAAGAAGAGAGTTTTATTAATATATCTTGAATTCAAAAGATAGAACTTTTGAATTTGAATTCTCTTGATTTTGTGTGATCTTTATGAAAACTAAAGGAAAGAGCTTTTGAATTTAAATGATAATGGATAAAAGGTTAATATTTTGAATTTTAATAAAGATATGATGGTAGGATGAATTAGGGTAATAGATGAAGATGATAGTGTTGGTAGTTGAAAAATTAACTGGCTAATGGATAAGTGGAGGATATGACATGAAATTTAATGAAAATATGAATAAAGTAGTTATTCAAATTCAAAATAAGATAAAAAAATTATCCACAAAAGAAATTAATTACTCAAGCTCTTCAATTTAGGGTGCCATATGGCAAAATAATAGATTTTTGGCAGATAAATTGGAGAGAAAAGCTTCATGTAGATAAAATAAAAGATATTTACTAAGTCAAAGATGATTTGGCATGATTTTAGTTATGGAAAAGGTGAGTAATTTGAAATGAATGAATTAAATGGAAGAAGGTAGTCTCTATTTTGGCTAGATATTTTGAATAATTTCCAATAAGATAAGGGAAATTGCAAACCAAGACCATGAGGATTGTGAAATCTCATATCAGGTATTTTTATAAAAAAATTTGTTGTTATTTACCATTCAATTGTTGTCAAAATCTACGTAAGTGTTGTAAGGGTTCTGATTTGCGATTTTGCTATTTTTACAATTTTTTTGTGACTTTTCCATTAAAAAATTGGGAAATCCTCTCTTAATTCCAAGTGGCTACCATAAATGTAATCTCCTTGAGATTCACATTTTTCTCAAGCTTGGTCATGTAATATGACCATTTGCCCTTGGCTTGTGAATTTACCATTTTGCCCTTTGCTATTCTGAGCAAATTTTATTGTAAAATATTGTTCTATCTTATTTTCTTGTAGTAATGCTTCAATTTGAGCTCCCAAATTATGCTTGTAGCTTTTGAAAATTCGATTTTAAAATTGCAATCGGTTCTCTGTTCAATGAAATATTCCCTAGAATAAAAGCAAAGATACATTTCAAAAAGAAAAGTATAATAATATAATAATAATGCATTTTAAGCAATTAATTTATATAATTTTCTTGATTCAAAATATGAGTATCTACTGCATTTTGAGCCTTTTAAACAATATAAAATCCCTTAATCATATGTGAAACCATGTTATGAAATAGGGACACATCACCCATCCAATTGGACTGATTGAGGGTTAATCTGGATATACCACTTTTGTGTATGGTCCTCCTATTCAGCGAGATAGAAGGGGGTGGTGCGCTCAGATTATTTCCTTAAATCTGGGTACTCAAGTGTTGTGGTCAATTATATGGGATTTCAATTATTTGCTTTGTAGTTTTAAAGGAGGATATATGACCTTAATGAACTCAAAGTTTCAATGGAAAAAAAAAAAAAAAAGACTGGACCATCTTATTTAACTGGAGAACCGGTGAACCAGCATTTGGTTCAGTCTGGTTTGAGTGATGGACCCCCAATCAACCTAGAACAAATCAGGAGGAACTGAAAAAAATTAGTGAAAACCGAAAAAATCGTTTGGTTGGATGGGTCCTTGATTTTCTTTTTTTGTTTTTTCCCCTTCACTTCTTTCTCACTCTCACCATCTTGCCGTTCATCACTGGAGAAGCAATGGACACTACTAGGACAAGGGGTAAAAGCAGAGAAAATTATGGAAAGAAAGACCTATTTGGAAGCC